TGGGAACCTTTACTTGCCGTATGCATCRTGGAATATTAGTGAGGATAGAATAGAACTCAGCTTCAGTCTTTGCTATTTGCTAATTTGCTGATATTCTGGACTCTAGACTTACTTTGTGTGAATGAATATCTTTAATATCCACAAGACTTAGCAAAATGATTCTCAGATTTGTTAAGTGCATATTTTTGGTGCTGTTTTTTTTTTTCCTGTTCTTCCAGGCAACTTTACTCATGTAATAATAGTTTTGTGTGTTTACTATTTGCAGGAACTGCACAGACTATTTAGTAGGCATGATTTCATGTAATACTCTTGAAAATCTCTATAAGGGAAGTCCTATCTCGGTCTTCTAGATAAAAATAAATGAAATTTAGAGGAGTAAGTAAGGAATTTGCTCAAGTCTAATGAATAATACAAGTGGAATATTAATTTATCAATCTGTCTCCTTCAGTAGATGGAAATCCAAAGCAGAAGTTGTGTCCTAATTCATGGGTCTTCCATGCACTACAAGACTTTCAGTAGACACTTGATCAATGTTGATTTGATACCTGTGAACTCTTTCTCAATCAGTCAGACTCCTGAATCTGCTGTTGCTTTCCATGACTAATGCTTCAAATTGGAAGAGCTGGTTGGTGGTGAGAAGGAATCAGAAGGAAGGAAAGTAGGGCAAGCTGGAGCCAGTGGAGAAGATTGAGGATAGAGCCAGAGCCAATTGCTGGGAAAGACACCTTCAGGCCAAAAGTTAACTCTCTAATAAAGAAGAGACAAGTCCATTAAACTAGCATCCACAATCACTTTTATGTAAGCCAACACTTCAGAGCTGGACTGGTATGAATCAAAACATTTAGGATCAAATGTGTGTTTTCTTTAAGCAAGTTTAAGCAGTAAGAATTGGTTTTTATGTGTTGAATTTTTAAGGACCAACTCTGGGACCTACCCTGCCCGACCCGTCTTTCTCCCCCTTCCTTCACTGGTTTTTGAGGAAGCCTGCACTGTTCTTTGTGGCTGCTTTCCTTACTCTGCTGTTTTCCTCCAAGCCACATAGCCTAAGTCTGCTGAGTCTCACATAACCAAGCCCCACCTACATGGCAGTACTTAACTCAAGAAGGGCTATCGCAGGCCTTTGGAACTGGTTCTCTGCGGTATTTCATGGTGTTGATCCTGGTCTCTGCTTTGTCTTTTATGTGCAGAGAATCTTTGCAGAATTGTAAGATTTTAGGTCTTGTGCTACTTATGCTGAGGTTCATTCTTTGTGCATTTACTTACACATAATATGTGGGTTCTAAAAGTTTTTGTTTTTTACTCGGTATTCTTAATTCCTTTAATTCATCTCTATTTTCTTTCTAAGCTGGCAACTCTCATTACTTGATAATGCTCATCATAACTTGAGCACTGTGGTCCCTGGTTCTTCTCTTAAATTTACAAATAGTATATGAAGTCAAATTTCTAACACATTGATAAACAAGAATGAGTCAGGTTGTTGCAAGGTCTCTGGATTGACAAACCAAAATAATATAGTAGTTAGAATCAGGTTTTTTAAAGCTCAAGAGGACGATGTGGCTACTCTGGCAGATCCACGTGGTCCATTACTCAGTTTTGCCTTTAACCTCTCATTTTGATTTTTTTTWAAATGAGATTCTTTGTATGGCATAATGAGTAGCTCACACATGAACAAATGTGAATAGGTTTTCCTTCTCCTTTATTTTTTCTATGTGGTATGTCCTGTTTTCTGTACTTATTCTGGTTTTTGTTTGGGCAAAAAGGATCTTGAACTTTAATGTAGTTGATTTTCCTATTTGGTGGTTTGTCTGTTCCTGACCTTAGGTAAACCAGCATGGGAAAGAGCCTGRCCCTAGAGACTCCAGGATACCTGGATGGTTTCCACTGGCCTCARAAGTGCTGCTCTGCTTGCGTGGGGCTTTTATGAGTCTGCCCTCAGTGGGCAGCAGGCAGGTCCCAGGGCATTAAAGGAGCAACTCTGTTCTTTCATCTTTCAAACACATAAATTGCTTCTGTCTGATCAACAAAAAATGTTTATTACTTTTTAAAATTTAGTGTATGGAGTTTATATCTTAAAGAGGATAAAGGGAAAGCTGAAGACACGATTTTAAGGACTAGTAAAAACTAACCATTTCATGAGTTAGACATCATTACCCTAAGTACCTGTATGAAGATACGAATGGTGTGGAAATACTTTGTGTACAATCAGTGACTTGAAAATTTGTACTCTATATCTGTCATATGAAATGAACAGCATTCTGCCATCATGTATAACAAATTAGAATAAATAAATAATTTAATAAAGAAAAAAAACCTGACCATTCCAGAGAAGTATTCATGCAGTGTTGACTAAGATTCCCCAGTAAATAGGGAGGTTGCATTGAAAAATGATTGATTTCTCCACCCATACTCACACTCTATCACAATCAGCTATCCATCTTTGGCTCTCTAAAGAGAACGTGAGCTGCTTTGAGGGAGAATCTGCTTTTGTTTCCTTGGCTGTACCTGATGCATACCTGGCAGGGTACTTTGCATGAGAGTGCTTCCCTAAAGAGARGGTAGAGAAATGTTTTTCAAAGTTGCACTATGAATAAAGAACTATGATGCAAAAAGCTAATTGAATTCTATTTGTGCCAATTCAGAGGGAGTATATGTAATATTGAACCCAGAATCCAGTTGACTGGAAGGTACAGCAAAATGTAAGGAGTATAGAAAAAATAAATTAGATCCAAATTATACAGCTATCAATCTAAACCAAAACCTTTTGAAGTTTAAAATTTTAGTGCTTACTTAGAAACAGTTTCAGTCATGAAATCCAAATGTGAACATGTTTGCTGATAATTATAAGCTGTTCAAACATCTGTTTTGAAATTTGTTATAAGGAGACAAACTCACTTGTGATAGACATGTGTTTGTGTAAACTTAGAAGCCCTGTACTTTGTCATAGAAATACCCACAGGTTCTTGGCTCAGCTTTCATGACCCTTGATGACATTCCCCCTTAACACCCATGTGTCACCAGCTGGCCAGGTTGGCAACTAAAAATCCACACAAACACAGAAATACCTTTTTGGGAATTAGGGACGGCTCTGAGACCCTAGGTGTCAGCTTCCACGCTGGAAGGCAAGGGAGCAAGGGAGGCAAGAGGCAAAAGAGAGAGCACACCTGAAATTCCCCCTGTTTACTGAGGAAAAGCCATTCATAGACTATTCCACCCAAATAAGGCAAGGGATCGAGTTTCAAATGGTGGAGTCTTGCTTGGTGATGTCTTGTGGTCAGCAAATTGATTGACATCTTGGAAAGCCACACCCATCTCAAGGGGTGTGCAGGATCACAAGTAGAAGAGAAAAGGCCCACATGCATTGCACAGCCCAAAGAGCGGGTAATGCCAGACCAGTCCCCTCATACTCTGAAATGCGCATGGCTCACACACAGCCCACAGATGGCTCACAACACCCATGTACCATAGTTTATAAAACAGGAAYAACATATACTTTGAAGTTTTACTTTAAAGTTTTGTAAATGTCAAATAAGACATTGTATTCGAAAGATTTATTCTATGAGATAGTCAAATGTTATTAGTTTTCCTACCTTTCTATCTAGGAAATATTGAAACTTTCTAAGTTGTAGAAAATTTTCTTCTTGTGATTCTAACAAGTGGAAATGATAATGTCATACTTTAGAACATTATTGTAAATATTATAATACATTTATAAGGTTTACAAAATTGAAAGTTTTATAAAACTTACATTTTACTTTTGAMGTTTTAAATATTTGAATTTACTCTAGTATTTTTATTATTTAAGTTACACTGAACATATATTAAGGTTGTTAATAAAATATTGAATTTGTGTTTGTCATTAAGAGACATATAATAGAAAAATACGTTATTTCTGAGTAGTATTTAATTTTACCTTAAGTACTTTATAGTTAAATGCTATTACAATTAACTTTAAGCATATTTATATTGTTAACCTCTGACAACTTTAAAAAGTTATCAGTTCAAAATTATAACCATTTATTTCCCCCAAAGCCCTGAAAAAAATGGTTTTAAAATATATGGATCAGATTTTAGTGTTAGTGTTGCAGTAGTTAATAGGCACCAGTAGAGGGAGCGCTAACCCATCTTTCTTAAATTTATACTTGAAAATGTAATTTATTAAAATGTTACACTTAAGACAAATTTAAAACTTGAAGGACACCTAATTATAAGTTCTCAAAGGTACTWAAAGATGTCATTTGTAATTTACCTTAACACTGAGGGAGAAAACAATCTCACTTTGATTTCCATGGTTTTAGGTATATAACTGCCAAATACAAAACTTCTTCATAGTTATAACATAGTATGGAGTCTTCATAATATGACCTCCTGTGATACTTTTAACTCAGGTCTTTTTAAAAAATAYTTTTAGTTATTGATGGACCTTTATTTTAGTTATTTAAATGTGGTGCTGAGAATCAAACCCAGTGCCTCATACATGCTAGGCAAACGCTCTTCCACTGAGCTACAACCCCAGCCCAACTCAGGTCTTTTAAAATTAAGACTAGATTCTGGGGATGTGGCTGGGGATGTGGCTCAAGTGGTAGCTCGCTTGCCTGGCATGCTTGAGGCCCAGGTTCAAACCTCAGCACCACATACAAACAAAGATGTCGTGTCCGCCGAAAACTAAAAAATAAATATTAAAATTCTCTCTCTTTAAAAAAATAAAATTAAGAATCTAGTCATTTGAGGAGGAGGATGGAGGGGAGGAGTGGATGTGATAGAGATCATTGGAAATTAGGTGAAGTACTGTAAAGTTTGAAGTTTAGGGTCACAGTAGCAGTGCCATACCAAGTGGATCCCTAAGTCATGCCATGTAGGGAGAAGAAGAAAAATTTCATTTTTCCTTAGACCGTCCATGCATTAAGAGGGTTTTAAAACTAAAATCTAGAAAGGCTCTGTCCAGAATACTTGCTCATATCCAGAGGGCTGGTCCTGACAGTTACATTTTGATTTCTCTGTAGACCCCAGAAGAAAATATCATGTGAGACTGCTGGCTTACAACAACATAGAAGATGGCTACCAGGCTGACCAGACCGTCAGCACACCTGGATGCGTGTGTACGTGAGAGTTGTGATTAATCACCCACCGTGTTCTCCTCCTCCTTGAAATTTTAGTCTCATTACTACTTGGAATTTTTGGTGGTTAACTTTATATACTTCATGCTGCGTAGCACAGTATGTTGAGCCACGTAGGTGCTCAGTAAATATTTAAGTAAGATTTTAAAATTCTATGTACTTATGTTAATTTTGCAAGGAAAAAAGTGTTAGAAATTAACTGGGAAAAATAACCACTGAAAACCTACACACTGAATTTTCTTTTGTCTGCTTTCAGCTTGAAGCTAATGGTTTCTCTCCAACTGTTATTCTGTTTAATTGCTACTAAAGAGGATGTTGTTTTTGCTTAATGTCTTTGGCTAGTAGCTCAACTTTGTTGTCCTATCTATTCAGTATTGACAGTATTTGACTCCTTACCTAACTTAAAGAAGAGTTGTTTARGTTTGGGAGAGGTAACTGCAGACCATGAGTTTCTGGTGGAAAAATGACCTACAATCAACTTACACAATTGAATATTCTGATTTTACCACTTTCTACATTAAACCTTGTATCATGCAGTGAATTAATGTTATCTTTTCAATAGCTGTTCGAGATCGCATGGTCCCTCCTCCACCACCACCACACCATCTCTATGCGAAGGCTAACACCTCCTCTTCCATCTTCCTGCACTGGAGGAGGCCAGCTTTCACCACCGCGCAAATCATTAACTACACCATCCGCTGTAAYCCTGTTGGCCTACAGAATGCTTCTTTGGTTCTGTATCTGCAAACGTACGTAGCTTCTGTTAATGGTGGTTATCTTTGCCTTCCTCCCCATTCATGCTTACTTTTTACTGTCTTGATCCCAGTTTGGGCTTCAGCTGTGAGCATTTATCTTACTTCTAAAATGCTGGGAGTTTTGCCTCCCAATTTTTACCACATTCAGTTCTGAAAACTGCACTTTTTAAAGTTAATTTGCATGTGATTAAAAAAAAACTTCTCAGCAACAAGATTAGGCAAGAAGCTATTATTATTTTCAAGTAGCTAAACTCAGCATGTTTAGAGAAAAAAAATACCATTTGCACATGGGCATCAAAAAAAATAAGGCTGTCATTCTGTTTTGTAGGTTAGAGTTACAAAAATGGTCATCATTGGGGGATGGGGGGGTGTCCTGGTGATTGAACACAGGGATACTTTTACCACTGAGCCACATCCCCAGTCCTTTTTATTTTTTATTTTAAAACAGGGTCTCACTAAGTTGCTGAAACTGACCTATAACTTGTAATCCTCCTGCTTCTGCCTCCCAAGTTGCTGGGATTACAGGCATGCAGCACCATGCCCAGTGTCATCATGATGCTTTGAAAGAATAATTGGGCTTCCAGTATTTCTGGGGAAGTCTCTTTGTATTGGGACATTTCTGTAGTTAATTTTCTGGTTTCTTCTCAGAGAGGCAACTTGTAGGATTATTTCTATAGAATAATACTAAATGTAGTATTTTTTAATACATTAGATTGCTCTTATAGTTTGAAAAAATGTTTTTAAAGAAAATGAGCTAATGATAGTATGTTCTACCTGTTGGTTAGGAAATAACTGACAATCTTTTAGAAACAGTGGGCTTCTGGAATTAACAACTTCATTACTGTTTATTATAGATCAGAAACTCACATGTTGGTTCAAGGTCTAGAACCAAACACTAAATATGAATTTGCTGTTCGATTGCATGTGGATCAGCTTTCCAGTCCTTGGAGCCCTGTAGTCTATCATTCCACACTTCCAGAAGGTAAAGAAAACACTTTCATTCTGGGTTTTATCTTCAAAAATATTTTTAAAGGAATTTTTAGAAATATGTATATCATTTTGAGAAGGATACTATCCTGGTTACCACTTACACACAAATAATTGACAATGGAAGTCAGTGAATAATGATGTTTGCTAATGCTCCTAGGAACCCACAATGGAACCTGTTTCTTTTTTTCTTTTTTCTTTTTTTTTTTTTTAGTTGTACTTGGACACAATATCTTTATTTATTTATTTTTATGTGGTGCTGAGGATCGAACCTGGAGCCTTGTACATGCTAGGCAAGTGCTCTACCACTAAGCCACAACCCCAGCCCCTGGAGCTTGTTTCTATGAGCTTGATGCTATGCTCAGTGAATATATTTGATTGAGCATGAGTTCTGAGGCTCATTTATGGGCTCTAGCTGAGATATTTCATGTCTCTAAACCTGTGTTTCCCTTTCTCAAATGGGGGTGAAGAACTAGATGATCTAGGAGGAGTGTTCCTGCTCTATTTTAAGTATGTTGAAAGAGAGCAAGAAACATRTCAGTGAACACTGGGCTTTGTTGATATGGTTTTGGCATTATTTCATAGGAAATGTGGACCCAAAACCAGTTCTTCAAATGTTTAGCTCATATTGAAGATTGAGTCAACTAAAATTCCAAGGTCTTACTACTTTTCACCATTATAAATTATTAGACTTTAGTCTAYCCTGTTAAACTCATGGATTTACAGCATGTTGGGGAAATAAATGTTTTGGTCTCAGAAGCATTTTCTTCTGAGTTCTAGATCCCGTTAAGTCATGGTTCTATATGTTGTTAGTAGGAACCACAGTTCATGTTCAGTAACTGATGGGGTGGCACTTACTATGTGATAGAACTATAAACCTTCCTAGTTAGCAATTTAGCAAAAACATCTCAAGTGTCTTAAAAATATAATCCCTTTGACTTAATAAGTTCCCATCTAGGATGCTATTATCTCTTTTATGCTTTTTTTATCCTTAACATAAAAATTAAATTAGCTTTCAGAAAAAGGAGGGAAAAAAGTTCTTTACCATTATCACCATTATTTTTAATGATCTTTAGAAACTGTAATTTTTAGATTTTTTTWAAAATAGTTTCTAGTTTTTTCAACTATTTTCCAAGCTTACTAGTCTATCAGCCAGGCATTTGAGTGTTTATGAACCATTTTATCCTACTGATATGTTTTACATGTGTACACAGCACCAGCAGGCCCACCAGTTGGAGTTAAAGTGACATTAATAGAGGATGACACTGCCTTGGTTTCCTGGAAACCCCCTGATGGCCCGGAGACAGTTGTGACACGCTATACTATCTTGTATGCCTCCAGGAAGGCCTGGATTGCAGGAGAGTGGCAGGTTCTACACCGAGAAGGTAAATATAGTCATAAATTATTTCCTTTTTTATTTTACAGTTCTAGTTGAACCCAGGGCCTCATATATGCCAGAGAAGAGCTCAACTACTGAGATGTATCCCCCATTCCTTTTTTTCTTTTTTATTTTGAGACAGGGTCWCACTAAGTTGCCAAGCTTCTCATAATCATGAATTATTAAGGAGGATGAAAAGTAAGGTTATTAGTGATATAAGGAAAGAAAGGGAAAGAGGGATCCAGAGTTTTGTTTTGAATTTATATTTTTATGTGTGAAGTAACAAATTATTAAAGATTTTGGTTTTATTTAAATAGCATTGGGAAGCCTTTGACCTGTTTCAGAATGATCATTTTTACAATAGAAGAGATTTGGCTGGGGAGGAGTGGGGTTAGAGGAATGCAAAATAATCCTAGAAAGGAGGTGACTATTTTTTTTAATACTTTTAGTTGTAGATAGTACAATACCTTTATTTTATTTATTTATATTTATGTGGTGTTGAGGATCGAACCCAGTGCCTCACACATGCTAGGCAAATGCTCTACACTGAGCCACAACCCCAGCCCCAGGAGGTGATTCTTAATAGTTTGGGAAAGTGATGTTAAGCCTGGATTAGGACAAGAGGATAGAGGTAGAAAAAAAAGGATGGCTGAAAGAAACTAAGGAGGTAAATGGACAGGACTTAATAGCTTGGATGCGGGGGAGAGAGAACTAAGGGAGGGAGAATTATTATGGGTAATTAGGATATTTCTGGTGGTACTGCATCTTGTTCTGGAGTAGGCAATCCTGGAAGAAGACCTGGTTTAAGGGAAAGACTCCTATAAAAATGGTTCACATGCAAATAAATTGACCCAAATGAATGTTAGGGTCCACTTAAGTAGAGGGAAAATATGATTAGGACTTAATGACAGTGTATTTAGTACTTTTAAACATTATTTTTATTTGAGAAAAACTAATTCCCAAACCCCGTATTCTTTTTAAAGGGGGAATGAACTCAAGGTCACTGAGCCACATCCCCAGCCSTRTTTTGTATTTTATTTAGAGACAAGGTCTCACTGAGCTGCTTAACGCCTCACTAAGTTGCTGAGGCTGACTTTGAACTCTTGATCTTCCTGCCTCAGCCTCCTGAGCTGCTGGGTTACAGGCATGTGTCACCGCACTATTTTTATATGGTGCTGAGGACTGAACCCAGTGCCTCAAGCATGCTAGGCAAGTGCTCTACCACTGAGCCACAGCCACAGCCCCCTGGCTCCTTTTTAAAATCTTTAAGCTTTCATCTGGACAAGCTCCATATGCCGGTTTTTAGATGGACCATCATATAAACAATAAAACTTCATTATTTTGGCACTTCCTTAATTCAGACGTGCTGGGGAAAGAATTACCAAGCACTTAAAAGCTTAAGAAGGATTTAAAAGGGCTGGGGTTGTGACTCAGGGGTAGAGCACTTGCCTAGCATGAGTGAGATGTTGGGTTCAATCCTCAGCACCACATAAAAATAAATAAAATATGCTCAACTATAACTAAAAAAAATATTTTTAAAAAAAGGATTTAACAAAGGAATTTTGTTGGCCATCCACATATTGTAAACATAATAACAATGTTSGACATTTCAACACAAAGTTTACCTTTGAAGGGGAATATTTTCCTAAATAGGAAGGTGAATTTAAAAACATTTGTTTGCATGCAGTTGTAAAGCAAGTGAATATTAATTTTAGCTGGAGTTTTGATAATTGTATATTCATAGTTTTCAATATCAGAAGGCTCACTAAGTCCTGGTTTCCTGATTACTGAAGAGACTTGAAAGTAGTAAGTATTTGATAGCTATTAACTTTACATTTGTTCATTACTATTGCTGCCTTACAAACCACTCTAAAACTTAACTATTTTATTCTCTTATAATTCCTTTAGTCAGCAGTTTCAACTAGAATCAGCTGGGCATTTCTATTGGCCTCTCAAGAGAATGCAGCTATCTCAGTTTGGATAGGGTGTGAGAATCTCAAAACAGTAAGGGAGGGTTTCATAATCAGGACGAGAGGGAGGAAGCCCCAGGTTCAAACCTTTATGAACCTCTGCTTGCAACACAGTCACTGATATCCCACTGGACAGAGCAACTCACGTGGCCAAGCCCAAAGTTTTTGTGGATGGGGCATTCAAAAGGAGTGAGCAGATGGAGGCATGATTCATTGGGGAAATTCATTAAAATGCCTCAGCCTATCATTTTCCAAAAATRTTTAATTCAGTTTCAGTTGTTCAGTTCCAAAATGGCTTATTGATGCAATACTCAACCAAATAACAAACCTGACTTAATGAGGAAGAGTCTTTAATTAGAATTTTGATCACGTGAACAAATATCTTGTAGTTTTTTTGTACTTGCCAAAAAAGAAACAAAATTTGTTCTCTTTTCAAGTTCATTCATTTTTAAGTTTGAAAAATCAGAAAATAACATTTTACTTTATTGATGTCTCCATAGCAAAATGGATTGTAATAGCAGGTTTCTACAGCTATGTAAACTTTTCTAACTATAAATAGGCACAAGAAAGAATAATCTCACATGCTACTTGATGCAATCTTAAGAAACAATCTCAGTGAAAAGCTTTTATCATTTGTTGAATGCAGAAAACCCTTTTCATAGCTAATGCCAGTGATTCTTAAAGAACAAATAAACAGCATAAGTAAAAAACAGTTGTACTTATTTTAGAGAGGAAAAATATAAAGGAATTGACTCATATTTAATGAAAAAATACAACATGATATTTGAAGAAAAAATAAATGTAAAATTGTCTTTTCTAAACATGGGAATTTTAGAAAGGCAAAAGTATAGAAAACATTGGMGGAAAAGAAGAATATWTTTTTTTTTCTTTTATTATAGGTGGACACAATGACTTATTTATCTGTTTATTTTTATSTGGTGATGAGGATGGAACTCAGTGCCTTGCACGTGCTAGGCGAGTGCTCTACCACTGAGCCACAAACCCAGCCCCAAGAATGTATTTTTCTATTACATATATAATAATATATATATTAGCTTTATATATATTTATATACTTAATTCACATATTTAATACCAAATGAAATAAGACTTTTTCATGAATCTAAACATTTGAAAAAATATTTCTGGTGAGTACATGGTATTTGTGGCTAAAATGGTACATGGAAGCATGGTGGAGCAGAAAAGTGGTACAATATTATACTTGCATGTAATTTAAAGTGGATCAGAAATTACAGCCTTTACCTTCCTGGTATGTAATAAATCAGCACAAACTACTCAATTATTTTTMAATCTAAAAGACATTGGAAGAAAATTATGCCCTGTCTCAGCAATTCCTTAACTTTGTTTTTTATATATTTCCTGAGATTATAAAGATGCTCCTCCTCCAGAAAAGTCTTTTCCATGATTGTAAATAAGTTTGAGAATCACTATATCCTCCTATTAGAGGTTCACATTGGAAATTTGAAATTCTATAAAAAGAGAATTCCATTTAACTCAGTGTTTGCCAAAAGAATTTGACTACTCATAGTAGGAACATATTCATTTATTAAACCAAGTTTTATTGAGTGATTACCATGTGCCAGGCTCTGTTCTAGAAACTTGCTATACCACCACGGTGAAAACAAAACAAACAAAAATCCCTGCCCCCCATTGGAGCTTGTATCCCAGGTAACAAAAATTTTAACAAATATCTACATTTTCAGATAGTGTCATAAATGCTATAAAGAAAGGTGAAATTGGGGCTGGGGATGTGGCTCAAGCGGTAGCGCGCTTGCCTGGCATGCGTGCGGCCCAGGTTCGATCCTCAGCACCACATACAAACAAAGATGTTGTGTCCGCCAAAAACTAAAAAATAAATATTTAAAAATTCAAAAAAAAAAAAAAAGAAAGGTGAAATAGGGGAAACAGACAAAGTGGTGGGGGTAGAAAGGTAAGTTTTCTTGGAAGAAATCCCATCTAGCATAGACACATTGGTATCTGGGGGAAGTGCAAAGACCCTGAGGCAGAGGGCTTGAGGAAAAACAAGGCCAGGAAGGTTAGAATGAGGGGAAAAGCAAGYAGTAAGAAATGAGAGAAGGAGGTAACCAGGGCAGATCTTATAGATCAGATTTTGTGAATTATGGATTTTATTTTAAGAGGGAAGATATTGGAGACTGCTGATCAGATCTTCATTTTAGAAGGATTGTTCTAGGCAAACTACTTGAAAAGTTGAGTATGAGGAGATGAGAACAAAAGTTAGGAGACCATTTAATAGGCAGGTCTACCTRTGAGAGTTGATGTGGGTATGGACAGGGTATAGTGATGGTGAAGTGAACAAGAAGCTCTTGGAACATATTTTGAAAGAAAGCCTACCAGRCCTGCTGGCAGACAGTTGGTGGGGCAGGGGAAGGGAGTGAGAAAAAGAGAACCGAATCAGTGGGGGGAAATCAAGGGTTTGATTTTAAACATGTTTGATTTGAGGTGCCTCTTAGATATCCAATGGAGAGGTCGGATAGCCTYTGTCTTCATATTTTAAATCAATAGCCTTTGGTCACAAAAAACTTACACTTTAAGTTCAGCTGCCATTTAATGTAAGTTCAGCTAAAAATTGCCTTGTACAGAGTATCTGGTATCAACCTTAAAGTGTTCAGATAYGAAAAACATTTTTTTTTATCCACCAGAAGTAGAAGAGGAGAAATCAGAGTGAGAAAGCAAGCTTTTTTTTTTTTTTAATTGTACATATACACTCATGTCAGACACCTGCCAGGGTTAGTTTAATTCTTATAATAATCAAATGAGGTGGAAAGTATTTCCCCCACAAAGAAAGTACCATTGTAAGTCACAGATGACTTGGCACCATGCCAAGAATGGGTCCACATTGGTCCAGCACTGTGCCTGTCACACTGAAGATCTGTGAAACTCCTGGTCTAGCCRAATAGTCAATTGTGTATAAGTCAGTGGACAGATCATCACACTCAGATTGAAATAGTCTGCTGAGAGAATATGGGGACAGTCAGATCAGTTTTACCTTTGGGAAATGCTTTGAGTCTGTCATAGGGGAACTAGAATGTTATAGTTCCCTTTTTTCCTAAATGAAGACACTTCTTCTTAGGGGAAGTGACTGCTGATCCATTTAAAAAATTTGAATTAAAAGAAAAGACTTTTAGTTTCTGGTACAATTGGTTTTTGCCGAGCATTTGTAAAAATTAAATTATTCTATTATAAAAAGGAAACTATTTATTTATATCTCAGTTTTGAAGAAACTGAAATGTTTTTCCTTCTAGCTAATTGTAACATGTTACAAATACATTTTTGTTTTTGAATACATCTGCCTAAGAACATAATAACTCTTCCTGATTCTAAATAGGGGTTAGTTTGTTTATTTAACAGTTGTGTACTCAAATAGCTCACACTCTTTTTGAGGCCAATGCAACCAGAGAACATGAAAACAAGTGGTGTYGGGCTCCTGGCATTACCACTGGGCATTGCCACTGGTGGTTCGGCTGCCTCCCACTACCATGTGACCTCAGAGGTAGCCTCTGTGTTATGACCTTGGCTCTGAGATCACCCCACACTTCATTTCAGCATACTTGCTGGAGCAGCCAACTCTGGCTTAGGGGTGACTGCAACAAGCTATTTTGAGCCCTTTGAAACTATTGTCGGGATGCCTTGCTTTAGGAGAAAGATTAAACGCCCAGGAAAGCTAGAGTTCCCTGTGCACATCCACCTATAAAGGCAGTGCTGGAACAACTTTGTGGTTGAATTTCTTTCTTTTTTTTTTTTTTTTTTGGAACTTAACCTCTGATGATTTATTTTAGGATTGGCATATCATGATAAGTCATCAGATTCCAGATATTTATTTATTTGCAGTTCCATTTAAGTGAACATTATTTTGGATCAGATATCCTTAAATTGTTTCTGATAACATCCAGAACTCAGAATAGGAGAAATTTATTTACATTAGGACCATATCCTTTTAAGCAATATTTCCTTCACAATTGTTGGTAATAATGTATTACTGAAGTCAATAATCATGTTAGAACTAACATAACACTGATAGATAATATAAAAATAAATTTATTTTATCTCATATTTACTGTTAAAATTCTATACCTTAATTAAGGTCTAGACAGAATGCATCCTTATGGATGCTGACCAACCTTTATCTGTGTATCTTCACTTTAGAACACTTTYAATTCTATATCTTCATTTCAAAGAGAAAACTTGTCCTAATTTTAATGAGAAAGTATGCTTTTGCAGTTTCAAGA